GTCGCAGTCGGCGCACTCGCCGGAGCCGCAGCAGCAGCAGCAGAGGCACGAGTCCTCGGAGCTGCAGGAGCCGCACGTGGCGCAGTCCAGGACGATGTTGCACAGCGTCAGGAACTCGCAGAACAGGCAGGACAGGATGCAGTGCACGCAGCAGTCTGCGGGGGGCGCGGGAGAGCGGGTGGGGGTGAGGCCGGGCAGGGCCCAGCCACCGCGGTCACCGAGCGCTCAGTGCCCGGCAGCGATTAAGCTGGAGCAACCAGTGGCTCCGGGAAGTGGGGCTGTGAGGAGCCTGCTGTGGCACAGAGAGTGGCTGACACCGACCCACCCTGTCAGCTGGAGTTGGGGGTCTGCCAGGCGGTCCGGGTCCTGAGCGCTCAACCCTCCCTAGTCACTTACCCAAGGGGCACAGACTGATGACTGTTCTAAGTGCTGGGCATGAATTAAACTCATTTAAACTTGCACAACTCCATGAGGTGGGACTACTATTAACCCCACTGTACAGATCAAGAAACCAAGGGAGAAAAAGCACTTCAAAATATCGCCAGAGCCCGGGCAGCATGGCTCAGTGGTTGAGCCTCGATCTGTGAACCAGGGGGGGTCACAGTTCCAGTTCAATTCCCAGTCAGGGCACGTGCCTGGGTTGTGGGCTCCATCCCCAGAGAGGGGCATGCAGGAGGCAGCCAATCAATGATTCTCTCTCATCACTGATGTTCCTATTTCTCTCTCCCTCCTCTCTGAAATCAATAAAAATATAAAATTATATATATAGCCAGAATCCTCCCACGTTGTTAATCTCTGCCAGGGCAGCTGCTTCTCCACTCCCCACCTTTGACTCCCCCTCCAGCCATCTACACCCCACACACCAGGGGTCCTTAAATACTTTGATGGGATTCTGTCCCTCTGTCCCTCCTGTGCTCAGAACCCCCCTGTGGCTTCTGCCTCACTGAGTAAAAGCTAAAAAGCTCAGAATGGCCCCCATGGCTCCATGTGATTGGGCTCACTCCCCCACTCTGTCCCCTGTGTCCGGCTGTGGCCACACAGCCTGCTCCTCCTCCAGCAGGCACTACTCCCCCGCCCCACCCCCAACCTGGAATGCTCCAGCCCCAGATGAACGCTGGTGCTCATTCCCTCCCCTCCTTCAGGGCCCCAATGCCACCCTCTTTAATAATGCAACCTGCCTGCCCTGCCCGCCCTGTCCCAGCACCCCCATTGCGGCACCCCCACCCCCTTGCCCTGACCTTCACCTGGCCCCAGTAGGACTTGTCACTTTGCACCGCACTACACAGCTTTTCCTCCCACTAAGCTGTGCGCTCCACGGGGGCAGGCATCTTTGTCCCCAGAACAGTGCTGGACACATGGTGGGTGCTGAGTAAATACACGGTAAGTGAATTAATGCAGGAGCCCGCTCGTGGGCACCCAGCTGGTCAGTGGTGGTGCTGGGGCCTGAACCCAGGCAGGCTGGCTCTGGTGTCCACACTCTGAAGCGCCTAGTGTGCTGCCAGGATGCTGAGCTGGCACCCCTGCCAGGGGCCAGGCCAAGGGGCAGCGTGTCCACGTCCCCTGAGCAGGTAGCCCCTGGCACAGGCTGCTGGTCCTGTGGGAGTCTCACACTGCCCCGGAGGGTCTGACTCCCCGGCCCTTTCCTGTGAGGGGGAGTGGGGTCTGGCTCAGCTGGAACCCTGCAGCTATCTGCAAACTGAAGAAGGGCATTCTCTCTTCCACTGCAACTCTGACGAGGTCACCACCTTGCCTGAAACCCTCAGTGGCTTCCTATTGTCCTCCCGATAATCCATAATCGATAATCGAAGTCCACTGGGCATGGTTTACAAGGCATCCCCGCCTCCTGGCCCTGGCCTGGCCTGGAGCCTCACCTCCCACCATTCCTCACCTTGAACTTCATAATCTAGCCACTCCAGCCATTTCTCACCTCTTTGCTAAATCCCTCACTAGATCCTCCTTCTCAACCTTTAAGCCTTGCTCAGACTCCTCCAGGGCCTTCCTAGGCTCCCCTCCCTGGCTTTCTGGGCTGGAGTGGGGGCCCCCTGGGCTCCCATAATCCCCTGTGTGTGGCTTCACCACGATTTATCACACCATGTGGTGATTCCCTGCTGTGCCTCTCTCATGAGAGCTTATGAGGCCATGGATTGGGTACCCAGCACATAGCACAGAGCCTGGTTCATAGCAGTGCCCACTACACTGTAATGAATGAATCCCTCTTTCATAAATTAACTGGGCGGAATCTGCTCTGCGAGGTGGGGAGGTTTATGAATACGTATGTGCAAACGTGTGCACTAAGTCCTGTTTGCAGAGGACGAGGTCAGAGTCCCGCAACATGGACAGGAATCACTTAAAAAGTCTGGGGTAAAGGTCAAGAACCACTAAGCTACAGGCAGCTG